TGAAGTGCAATGGCGCAGTCTCGGCTCACCGCAACCTCCGCCTCCTGGGTTCAGGCAATTCTCCTGCCTCAGCCTCCTGAGTAGCTGGGATCACAGCCACGTGCCACCATGCCCAGCTGATTTTTGTATTTTTAGTAGATACGGGGTTTCACCATGTTGACCAGGATGGTCTCGATCTCTTGACCTCGTGATCCACCCGCCTCGGCCTCCCAAAGTGCTGGGATTACAGGCTTGAGCCACCGTGCCCAGCCGATTTTTATTTTTTCTTGATAAATACTATTTAAAGCTATAATTTCCTCTAAATACTATATAAGCTATGTCCCACAATTTTGGCATGTAATGTTTTCATTGCTATTCATTTTCATGTTTTGTAATTTTTGTATTCTTTTTTAATTCAAAAGCCTTGGCTTTTTGTTATCTTTTTCTAATGCTATTGCTGGATAGTCAGATGTTTGCATTTATTCTCTGGAACTGAATGAGGCTTCCTTTACTGCCTCATATGTGATCAATTTTCATAACTATCATGTTTATTTTTAAAGTATATGAGTTCTAATCCCATCCATGAGGACTTTGCCCTCATGACTTAATTACCTCTTAAAGGCCCCACCTCTTCATACTGTAACATTGGAGATAAGACTTTAACCTATGAATTTTGGGGGGACACACACATTCAAACCATAGCATTCCACCTGTAGTTCCCCCCAAATTCTTGTTTTTCTCACATGAAAAATGCATTGATTCCATCTTAATAGCCCCCAAATCTTAACTCATTCCATCATCATCTCAAAAGGCTAAAGTCCAGAGTCTCATCCAAATCAGATCTAGGTAAGACTCAAGGCACAATTCATTCTGAGGCAAATCTGCCTCCAGCTGTAAGCCTATGAAATCAAACAAGTAATGTGCTTTCAAAATACAATGACATAAGGTAGACATTGATTCCAAAGGAGAAATAGGAAAGAAGAAAAATGTAATAGGTCTCAACAAAATCCAAGCCATAAAAGGGCCAACAGTATTAAATCTTTAGGCTTGAGAATAATCTTTGACTTCATGTCCTACCTTCCACACACCAGGGAAGGAGCTGGGCCCCCAAATCCTGGAGCAGTCCCACCTCCATAGCTTTGCTGGGTGCAGCCCAGTCTTCAGCTCTCACATGTTGAAGTTGGATGCTTGCAGCTTTTCCAGGCTGGTGATGCACACAGGTGGCTCTACCATCTGGGGTCTTGAAGGCTTCCCCCCACCTGCATGACTCCACTAGGAGTTGCCATAGTGGAGACTCTCTGTAGTGGCCCTGAGGCTGTCCAAGACATTCCTTTTTTAAAAAATATTTTTGGAGACAGAGTCTCACTGTGTTTCCCAGGGTGGAGTGCAGTGGCAGGATCTCAGCTCACTGCAACCTCTGCCTAGCGGGTTCAAGCAATTCTCCTGCCTCACCCTTCTGAGTAGCTGGGATTACAGGCACATGCCACCAGGCCTGGCTAATTTTTCTATTTTTAGTGGAAACAGGGTTTCACCCTGTTATTCAGGTTGGTCTCGAGCTCCTGACCTTGTGATCCACCCTCCTTGGCCTCCCAAATTGCTGGGATTACAGGCATGAGCCACTGAGCCTGGCTAAGACATACTTTAAAATCTAAGTGGAGGAAGCCATGCCTCCATGGCTTTTGCACCACACACCTGCAGAAATAGCACCATGTGGCCATTACCAAAGCTCACTGCTGTGCCCTCTGGAGCAGCAACCAGAGACACATCCTGGGCCAGCTTGAGCCACAACAGAGGCAGCTGAGGAGTGCTGTGCTGGAATGCAGGGAGCAGAGACCTGAGGCAGCCCTGGGCAGTGAGCCTCGGGGTCCCATGGGCACCCTGGGCCTCTCTCTCAAAACCTTTCTGCCCTCAAAGCCCTGCTACTCTGGGCCTTTGGTGGGCATGGCAACCTCAGAGATCTCTAAAATGTCTCTAGGGTCATTCTCCCACTATTTTGATGAACAGCACCTTCTAGCCATACTAATCTTATCAAAAAGCTAGTTGGCCACACCCTTGGTTTTCTCATCTAAATACCCTTTTTTATTCTTCATATGGCCAAGCTGAAAATTTTTCAGATCTTTATATTCTGCTTCACGTTTAACTATAAATTACGTCTTTGCTTTTTTCCCCTTTTCTCACATTTTACTAAAAGCAATTAAGAGAAGCCATGCAGCTCCTTCAATAGTTTTCTTTTTTTTTCCTTTTTCTTTTTTTTATTTATTTTTATTTTCATTTTTATTGAGACAGAGTCTTGCTCCGTCGCCCAGGCTAGAGTGCAGTGGCACGATCTTGGCTTACTGCAACCTCGGCCTCCTGGGTTCAAGAGATTCTCGTGTCTCAGCCTCCTGAGTAGCTGAGATTAAAGGTGCACACCACCACACCTGGCTAATTTTTGTATTTTTAGTAGAGACAGGGTTTCACTATGTTGGCCAGGCTGGTCTCGAACTACTGACCTCAGCTGATCCACCTACCCTGGCCCCCCAAAGTGCTGAGATTACAGGTGTGAGCCACCATGCCTGACCGTCTTCTCTATATTTAAAATGGGTTTCTCATAGGCATCATACAGTTGGGTGCTTTTTAACAATTTAGCCTGAAAATCTGTTTAATTGGCATGTTTAGACCATTTACACTTTCTAAATAAATTTATTGAGTAAAAATCACATATTATGAAAGTAATCATTTTAAAGT